CTTTTTTTTTTTTTTTTTTTTTTTTTTTTTTTTTCTTAATAAAATTTTCTATAAAACATTTTTGACATCAGTTTATATCAATTTCATTACACATATTGGAATCCATTAATAAGTGTAACACGGCTAATGATTAAAACCTGCATTTACTTAGGAAGAGCGTCCCAATCCCCAGGTAAAGTTTTCTTTCAAAAATTTGATTATATAATGTGGGCTTTCAAAACATGTATCAAAATCATCGAAATTTTCCAATGTGATTTTAAAAACTTAGTGAAACCTGGTCGCGAAAATTTTTAGATCTAGAGAATTCTAGTTAGTCGACAAAGTTGGGTCAATCGTCGCGAGCATTACCTCACACATATACAATATTGTCGTTTTTCCTATATTTTTTTTACATTATATCGATTCAGTTGCGTGAGATCGTCATCGGATGCATATATATATCTATTTCATACAATGTAATAAATTCAAAGCATATTGAAGCATCTTATATACCTCTTTCTTATTGATATAAAATATATGGCTCCGTATGCTTAGCATATTATTTGTGCTCGATAGGTCGATAGGATGAATTTTATCTGCAAATTGTACTTAAAAATATATTCATCACACATATAGCAAATAGCAAAATTGTCATCAATAAAGTTACGAAGGTCACAATCGTGAGCGCAATTCGAACCTTCCTCTTTCCAAAATGCCACATTGTTCTCTCTCTTCATTTGAAATGTTTTGTACTCATACATATTAATTGGCAACTGTTTATTGTTGGTTGTGGGTGTGTACGAGTTTGTGTGTCATAAAACATAATTGGGATTGGATGATTTTCTTAATGCACTTAAACTTCTGTCTTGAAAATTCGTTGTCAAATTTTCGCAATAAGTTTGTACATTTTTCTTATTTAATGTCAATTAGAAAAGATTTTTGTTTTTCTCTTTTTTTTGTGTATATTCAAGACTTCCGATTAAATATTTGATTAATTCTGATAAAAAATTTTGTAATATTTAATATTATAAAAAATGAAAAAAATTGTTTAAGAACTTATATAACACGCAAGAAAAAATTGTATGAACCTCTACTTTTATAAGGTTTCTAAGATTTTATAATATAATCTAAGCTTAGAAAAAAGAAAGAAAAGAACAAAACAAACAAATATTTACTAAATCAGGGATGAAAAGAAACAAACAAATGCCAATTTTATTAATAATAATAATAATATTCAAAATAATAAAAATTATAATTATATAAATAATAACGATAATTATAATTACATAATTATAAATATATATATTATATATATTATAATTATGATTATATAATTATAAATATAATTACATTATATAATTATAATTATTATAAGATGAATAATAATAATAATAATAATGGACAACATAAGGGAAAGTAATCATAACATAAAAAATTTTTTAATGAAACAAAACTCAGTGATTTTTCACCAGCGAAGTACAAATGCACATAAAAGAAATAAAACAAAATCAGATATGAACAAAGTTTTTGACTAAAAAAATTTTAAAATTTTGGAAAACGACATAACATATTTCTATATATGAACAAATAAACCGAAAAACACCTCAAAAGCAAAGCCGATGTTTCATTGTTATAAAAAAAATTTTAAAAAAATACCAATAATAAAAAACAATCTATCAATAACATTAAAAATAATACAAATAAAATTACAAAAAAAAAAAAACAAAAAAAAGAATAAGAAAAAAACAAATGTTGTAAATATAAAATAAAAGATTTTTAACATTTTTTATAGACGCTGTCTATATAAGTACGTGAACACATTTTTGATTTTATAAAAGCAAAAACAAAGAATCATATGTAAAATGATAAGAAAATAAAAATAAGAAACCACCAAGACGCTCAAAATTCAAAATTATAATAAATTTTATCAGAATGAAAGCCACAACAAAAAAGTGTTGAAATTTCATACAAATGTTTTTTGCACATATCTGTAAAATGTCTCAGGAATTTTATTCTCTATACATATGTACATACGTATGTGTGTGTGTGCATGTATGTACATATGTGTGTGAGTGTATGTATATATATATATATATATATATATACATATATATATATATATATTAACATACATATACATAATCACAACATACATACATATATACACATACATACATATATATATATATATATATATATATATATATATTTATAAAATTTTAAAAGAATTACTTAAAAAACTTTGAAGTGACTAAGTATAATAAAATAGTTATAAAAAAAACAAAAA